GCCAGGGGGCTAATCTATAAAGCTCAACAAAAACTTGTTTTAAGTATAATATGATAAAGGGTGCTCTTTATAATTCCTCATGATATGGATTCTAAAACTGTTTCGTTGATATATTCCCATTAAATTGAAGATGAATAGACTGGGCTAGCCTTCACGTGGATCTCAAGTCAGAGAGGTGGATACGTAAATAAGACAGACTTTATTATAATTCATTTCAAAAATCCTTTACATACTTTGGACCGTTGCAATAAAGCGTACGTTTTTAATCCGCAATACCAGTTCGAGATTGAGAGAGAGAAAGATTAGATAAATATTTGAAGGCAGTATCGGTATATAAACTAAAGTACCCAGTGATATTAAACGTTTAAGGATTCCTCACCACCGAAAGCAGTTCTTGTTCAAGGAAGAGAAATGAGCAGAAATGCAATGAAATAAGACAATCGAAATTTGTAATAAATAAAAAGTAAAAGACAGTTAAACCTCGCCTGGTTAACTAGTTCACTAGTTACTAGCCGGTCCTAAGCCCGGGTAAAGAGGGAAGGTTGGGCATAGGGCTAGCAACCCTACCCCGTAAAACAAATCTAACCGCTAAAGAAACTTCAAGGCATAAAGAAAATATAAAAAATAAAAACAAACTTATTCCCCGCTGGAATCGGAGAAGCGAAATGACGCCGGTTGGTGAAAGCCTTCGGGAAGCCAATTAACCGATGTATCTTCTCTCGATGGAGGCGAAGGTAAATCTGGCGACATAGAATGCCTGCACCATGTTTGAATCTAGCAAGGCAGCCCAGATTGCAAAGGAGATGAGAAGGTATCGCACTGAAGTGCTAGGCTCTCATGCAGTGGGAATCAATCTCCTCCACAATCAGGATCATAACAACAAGGTTCAACTCGAAAGGCAGGAAAGTCACAATCATACAATCCGCAAATAATGCGGATGAAGAGAAGAAGGAGGAATTCTACAGACAACTGCAATCAGTACTCGACAGGACCTCAGTTGGTGACATCAAAATTCTAATGGTTGGGGTGAGATGAATGCCAAACTGGTAGGGAGCAGACAACACAGGAAGAGAACTCATCATCGGTCGAAAAGCGCTAGGTGAAATGGACGAGAATGGAGAATTGTTTGTAGAATTCCGTGCATTCAACGATTTGGTGATTGGAGATAGTGTGTTCAAGCACAAGGATATTCACAAGTCAGCGACATGGATTCGATTTCACCAGATGGACACACTAAAAATCAGATCGACTTTATCTCAATCTGAAGAAAGTGGAGACGCAGCCTCCTGAACACAAGATCACGAAGAGGAGCAGATGTAGGTTCAGACCACTCGCCATCTAGTGCAAGGAACCTTCCAAATCAAGTTAAAAGCCTTCAAAGAAGCTGGTGATAGACTACAGTTCAAGTACAACACTCGGAAACTGAAGGATGAAACTACAAAGTAAATCTTCACTTCAGCCATCAAGACAAAATGGGAGATATCGAGCAACATTCCTGAAGAAACCTGTGTGGATGAACACTGGAACTCTTTGAAAGCTATGTGGAAAGAAACCTGCACAGCCATATTAGGAAGGAAGAAGAAAGAAGATAAGGAATGGATCTCAATGGATACATAGAAGTTGATAGAAGGGAGAGGAAGATGATGGTGAAGCAGAAGATAAACCAGTGCAAGGATGCTCAACGAGAAGAGGAACTGAGTACAGTGTATAAAACACTGGACAAAGAAGTGAAGAAGAGTGCACGCAAAGACAAAAGACACTTCTACGACACACTGGCAAGTGAAGCAGAACAGGCTGCTTGTAGGAGAGACCTGACAACACTGTAACAAATAACCAGGTTACTATGAGGGAAGAGATCAACTCAAATGAAACCAATAAAAGATGATGACGGAAATCTAATTACCAAAGAAGAGAGACAAAGGAAACGATGGGCTGACTACCTCGACAAACTCTTGAACTGACCACCACCTGCACTTCGTCCAGAAATATCACCTGCAGCCCAGACACACAACTACAAGTAAACATAAATCCTCCAACAAAAGTCGAAGTCCTGAACGCCATTAAGCTACTGGAATGCGGGAAAGCAGCAGGACCAGATGGAATCCCATCAGAAGCACTGTGAACAGACGAAGAGACAACAGTGGACATGCTCACACCACTGTTGCAGAGGTTTTGGAAGGAAGGGAGGGTACCTGCCGATTGGAAGAAGGGCTACCTTGTCAAACTCCAGAAGAAGGACGACTTAAGGCTTTGCAAGAACTGGCGCGGAATCACGCTCCTGTCCACCCTAAGCAAAATATTAAGCCGCATCATCCTGGAGAGGCTAAAGGATGCACTGGATTCAAAACTACAACCAAAACAGGCTGGCTGGCTGGCTTCAGGGAGTACAAATCATGCGCGGACCAATTCGCAACGCTTCTCATCCTCATAGAGCAAAGTATAGAATGGCAGTCAACTCAACTCTACCTCAACTTCATCCATTTTGAAAAGGCCTTTGACAGCGTTGACCGAGAAGTAATTTGGCAGGCAGTTGCTTCAACACTACGGTTTTAGTGCCACAAACTTCTATCAACCTCATTCAACAGCTATATGCCTGTGATGCTGCATGTCAAGTGATTCACACAGCAATGGAAAGCTCAGTGATGCCTTTGAAGTGAAGACAGGAGACAGGAGTAAGACAAGGCTGTCTACTATCACTGATGATTGTGCTGATTGTAGTGGACTGGATCATGCAGCAAACCGTGAGGAGCGAGAAGGGGGAAATACGCTGGACCGGAGAAAAGATCCTAGAACACTTGGATTTCGCCTACGATGACGATTTATGTCTAATGTCTTGTCACACAAACTTGAAGATCTACAGGCGAAAACTAACAAGTTGACAGAAGAGGTAGGACAGAGAAGATGGCACTTCAAGTGAACGTAGAGAAGACAGGGGTGATGAAGATACCCAACCAACACCTACAACAACAACAGCAACAACAAGCTGCAATCACCATGAATGGGAGAAACTTGAAGGAAGTAGCCTCCTTCACCTACGCCTACCTAGGCAGCACTGTTTCAACTACAGGCGGAAGCACATACGAGGATGTCAAAGTCAGGATCGGAAAAGCAAGAGAGGCGTTCATTAGCCTGAAACCAGTGTGGAGATCTACTGCACTCAGTACATGGAACAAGATCTGGATTTTCAATACCAATGCCAGTGAAGTCAGTGCTTCTATATGGATCAGAGACTTGGCGTGTTACGAAAGGGATTTCCAACAAACTACAGATATTCATCAACAACTGCCTACACTGGCTCGTTACTGAAGCTCAGGTGGCCAGAATGATAAGAATAAGCAACAAGGAACTCTGACTAGCTGGACAACAAACTAACCGAGAAGCTATCGCTCAACGAATATGCAGTGGAAGGAAGTGGAGGTGGATTGGGCATGCACTGAGAAGGCCGACTGTGGACATCACGCACCAAACCAGGTGGTCGAGTGGAACCCAGATAGGAAGCGACGATTGGGCGTCTGAGGTGAGGGTGACATGGAGGAGATCGTGCGAGGAAGAACTGGGAGCTTGTGGGCTGTCGTGGACCAGTTTCAAAAAATTCAGAGGAGAGAGTGGAATGGAGACGTGCTACTGAAGCCCTATATTCCATTAGGAACCCAAGGGACAAGTAATAAATAAAATAATAAAAAAGACAGTTAAATAAGAGAAAGTATTTCCTGGAAATCTTTTTTTAAAGCTGTAAAGATAAGTAACTGAGTTTAATACAGGCTAAAGTGTAAGCAACACTCTGTTAAAACATTTTCTAAAATTTCAAGGTATTAATTACGGATTACTATGAGCTGGAAAGCCATTGTAAACTTGTCTCAAGACAGTTACTCATAGATGACACTGCGTGATAATTATACTTTATTATGAATACAGAATATATTAGCAAATAAAAAAATGAATTTTTTTACTAAACAGGAAAACTTTAGATAACGTTTTTGTGCATCAAACGAAATTCAAGCACGTAAACCACTTAGTTATCATAAGGTAGCAGTAAAAATTTCAGCGAGGTTTATGGTTGTTAAAGTTTTTTCGTCTGGAATCTCATAATCGAAAATTATCTTTATACATATTGTGTGCTTTTTAAATTTAGCTAGTTTCGATTAGGTATAGTGAAGAAACCGTACAGTATTTCCATTCAAAACCACAGATTTGTTTATCACTTTTGTTGTTCTACTTCTTTCCCTGGAATCATCTGTTTCATACACAAATGTGTCAGTAAGGTAATTAGAGAATTTTAGACTGTTGCAGAATGGAATTCTATATTTAATAAGCTTATTTGATGTAACGTATAGCAAGCACAGTATGATATAATGCATAACTTTTAACCACAGTTTATTGAACACAATCTTACACAAAATATTTCAGAATAAAATGTTTGGAGTAAATCATTCTCTGAATAGGATAAGAAAGAATTGATTTCAGCCGCATTTCATACTTGCTGGTACTGTAAAAAGCGTGCAAGTCGTATTATTCTTCAGTGCACTGAATGAGTAGTTGTGTTGTTAGCAGCGACTTTTCGAACTCAATTTCCTCAACACTAAACACTTGACTTTAAAATTCAACCATCTGATACAGTATGTAACATTTTTGTGCCCAATCTGATAAGACTGTTGGGATAAAACCGCGCTGAAAATGAAACTGTACTGTCAGTCTAGACCTGAGAAATGTTGACGACACAGATGATCATATAAATAAATTCTATGCCCATCAGATACAAATGACGATGAGTTAACAAAGATTAATTACCCTGAAGCATATATGGTGTTCTCCAAAAAAGGTTATAAGGCTGTAAAGTCAGTTACTTAAAACTATTAGGCGCTAAACTGTTTCAAGTATGTGATTCTGACCGCAAGCGTTCTCTTTTGTTGACTTAATTTGAGCACGTGCTCATATATATATATATATATATATATATATATATATATATAATAAAAATTACGTTTATCTGAGTTTTTCAAATGTCTGAAACTACTGGAGTATGGACAAAATGTTGTTGTATATCAAAACGATTGGATGGAAAGTTGGCGATCGTTACTGGATCTAGTACGGGAATTGGTCTGTCAACAGCTGGTGAACTTGCTCGTCGTGGTGCCAAAGTGATAATGGCATGCAGAAATATACCAAAGGCTGAAGCCGCCAGAAAATGTCTTTTGGAAAGATATGGTACTAACAATCCAGAGAGTGTTACAACTGATATAGCATCTCAGGAAGTAATGGCATCACTGAGTCCAATTGAAGATGATCAAGTAAGTCTCCCGTTGATACAATGCAACAGTTTCTATATACCCTGAAACTCTGTTATTAGAATTCTGTGTGATAACCAGCTAACGTACATAATAGGTAGCGATAAATTGTAGACCACCAACCGGAATCTGGGAACAACTGAGATGGTCCTCCATAGTAAACGTTCATCTGCCAATTATCTTTCGCGTCTTGAGGCATTTCTTATCATACAGAAAAAACAGTTTAACTTTCATGTAAGTGAAAATGAAACGTAAAAATCCTTTATGTAGAAGTGATCAGTTATTATATTGAAAGAGAATACTTTCAGATCTGCTGAAGTTATCAAAATTATTTGAAGACTTAAGATGACATATAAAGTCTTGAAATCTATCTTTTAACCGTCTCCATTCACACAGTAGAGTTAAGTGAAACGATTACTGAAATATACAATGCATACAATTTTTAATCCTTAAATTTTTAGCCTAATGGATGATAATTTAACAAGTCTGTACAATCTAATTAATCTCAGCACTGGGTTATTGCAGGACTGATTTTAGATGACGAACCATATCCTAACCTCAAGGGAGTAATTTGGTCGACTAGAACTTTTACAAACGAACTTAACGACTTCAGATCTTCAGATTCATATCTTCATAAAGTAGGCAGTTTGATTTAACATCTTAAAGTCTAATAATTATAGGAAACATCTTAGTGTGGTATGTGAAAATTCATATGAGAATACCTAACAGAAGACAGAAGAATCTACACTTTTCAACGCTCAGATATACGTTTATGTATTATTTTACTACACGTAAACATTAGGGGTCATAAAGTACAGATTATTGTTCTGACTAATTTTTCATGACGCTATTTGAAACAAAGTAGGTACTTTATAAACTTCAGGATCAAATTTGACCTGATACAGTTGAATAAATTGAGTTTTGGATAAATGAATTATAAATGAAATATATTTGTAAAATCCCAATGAAGTAGAAAAATAAATTTCTGATATTTCGCAGCTTTGTGGAAATCGCTTCTTCAGAGAATAAAACCTGAACAAGTTATCGATGTTTTAAATAGTAAAAGATGACGAATCAGATCACATTGTCTATACATGATAATAATATGGGCATAAATGTTATTGTTATGCTGGTTAGGATGCATTATTAGTCTGGATCTTACAAATATACTTCATTTATATAGTAGGTACCTTTCTGATACTTATAATTCCCCGTTGCTACTCAGGCCGGATTGAAGCAGTAGATACTGGGTTCGAATCTAAGTAGGAACAACTTCACTGGATAAGGTACATGTAAATCTAGCGGAAGAGTCCCAAACAGGGCGAAACTTGCACCCTAGACTCCATTGCCAGTCACCACGATAAATAAAGTAAGTACTGTAGTCTATGTGTTATCATGATGTATTTTGCTTGACATTTGAAAGCCTTCACCATAATGAAATAGGCAACTGAGAATTTGTCATCTTCAGCAACTGGTTACTACGCTTTACCACGATCAACAAGGGTAGGCTGGTACAAAATAACACAGTGATGACGTTCTTAATGGTGGGAGTAAGATTACTAGTTTAAGGTAGACAAAAAACTGCACAGCAATAGCTTGTTGGATGGTAAAAGTGTTGCGTTTGCGTGAATAGTGCTAAACTGAACCTCATAATCAATAAGAAAAAGTTAATCAGAGCATTCCGGCCTATTTATAACCTTCCTATTTTTCTCGTTAAAAAATCAGAATTTATAATGGGAAAAAATCATACATGTGGTTTATTTTATCCTGCAAGAAGTTTTTAATATTTATGAGAATTCGTTTTATCAACCTTAGGTTTAAATTAGGCAACTACGATGGACGTTTTTATGCTGTTCGTGGTGCTCTTTCAAAATATATCAGTGATTCACTTTCAGCATATCCGCTATTAGATTTAAAAAGTGTGCTACGAGTACCAGTGTTACAGAGAAGCAAAAAAAACACTCAACAATGCAATTGGAGTTTATTTCCACAACGCAGTATAACATAAAGAAGGCTGATAGTACATCAGGTTGCATGAATTTCTGAAACGTCCTTTGTTCTCTGGCACTATTTACCTACGTAAAAACTAAAAACGATATACTATATAACAGAATCACTAGATAATATGTTTGTGTTGAGTGCTTTGTTAACTACTTGCTGCATTTAGATCACGACTTTTAAAAATAAATAAAATCTATTTAAATAACACTTTCATTTACGGAAAAGTTTCACTGAAAACTACTTAAAATCAGAATACATTACAGAGACACTCTTAGACGAGATGAAGTCCTTCACTAATTTATACCTTCAACATCTCACAATTATGACAGTACATCAGTAAAATAAAGGAGGGGTGCCACACAGAGTTCTGTATGCGTAAATTTTAATAACGGTTGACCTGTTAGACAAATGAAAATCTCATTGTCGTAATTCACAAAGTATGAGGGTACTAGGCAAAAAAGTACATTTCAATAATGACTTGAAAATGAGACTTGATAAAAAGATGGTGCAATGAATAGATTGAAAAGCATACAATCAGTATGTAAAACGATACTGGATAAAAAATAATAATAAGGAAAATTAGAATAAAAGTATTTCAAAATGGCTTCCTATCAAGTTGCTGAACTGCCTATATCTAGGGCATGGTGTCGAAAGGAATCCAGCCAAACAATTTGAGCACAAATGTCAGAATCTTTGTGTGTATGTAGCGATTGTATCTTAAGCATAAAACATTTTTTATCTAACGAAGAAACTAGAATTTTAAATACCTTTAAGATGTGGAACTTTACTTTCGTACTGTAAATAAACAAACTTCACTGGTACTCTTCGGACAAAAAAGTTAGTACCTCAGGATTCATTTACTCACTGATTTACGCTTTTACGTCAGGAATATGTTAACTGTTATCATCTCCGTGGAAATAATAATGATCTCCGAATAATTAGATCCTGTAAACCATTTTTCAGTTGATGATTGAAAAACTTGATTTAGCATCTTTGGAATCAGTTAGAGAATTTGGCAGGCGGATCAGTTCCACATTTTCGAAATTGGACTTTCTCATCAATAATGCTGGGTTGGCAACCAGTAAATATGAAAAGACGGTGGATGGTTTCGAGATGACGATGGGTGTTAATCATTTTGGACACTTCCTACTAACAGAGTTACTGTTACCACTGTTGAAGAATTCAGCACCATCAAGAATCATAATCATATCATCGATAGGACATTATGCAGGTCGATTGAGTAAGCCAGATTTGCAGCTTCCAGAGAGTGAATACGGTGAGGTGAAAGCTTATTTTCAATCAAAGTTAGCGAATGTGTTGCATGCTGTTGAATTAGGCGAGCGATTGCATAATAGTGGAGTGACTGTGGTTAGCCTGCATCCTGGTGCGGTGAACACTGAACTTGATAGAAATACAACGGACTTCGGACTGGTAAGTTCTTCCTAGTGATAATCATTATACAACCACTTTTATCACATGACTATTTTAGTTTATGATCGGTGTGAAAGTAATAAAATGAAATTTATTAATGCATGTATACAACTACTTTCAGTTTCTTAATCTTGTTTGTCCAAAAGCCACAACCTGATGTCATTATAACATAAAATATCTACTTGTTCAAACTGATCGAATACATTTCTCATATAAGCTGGTAAGTTTCTATCCACTGCAATTACTTATGTGTTGCAGTTATTATATCAGATCAAGTAGCCTTTAATAGTAGAAAGAGAAAAAAGTGTATTTTTTTTAAAGATTTAGTGAAATAGAGTATGCTTCTAACAAATTTAATCATTATTGAGACGAAAGCATTAAGATAATGATCAGTCAAGCCACTGACGAGGCATAAAGTTACATCGACTGCATTAGATAGGAAAAAGATCAAGTTTTTTCACAATATATGAACACGGAAACCTTTTATAGCTGAGAGTAGTCACCAAAAGTAAATTTAGAATATTAAGGCTTGATTAATATAGCACGTATTATGACAAACAACTGAAAATTAGTTAGTTCCTATTATCTTTTGGAGAATAAGGCATTAATGCCATAAAGATTTACCTGAAACGTATTGGTTTGGTTCTTTAGCATCTAGCATATGCTGAAGGCATAGCTCTGCTAGACCTCGACTGAAGTGAGTGTTTGAAACCTTATGGAGAGAAAATTGACGGTGAAAGATACCACTACTGAAGAACATGAGTGGTTAAAAACCACTCAGACTGATATGTAAGATCTCGTCCGCTAAATGAGAGTGATCTAAACACCAGAAGGCGGTTTCGCTGGTTGAAGCCAAGCTCAACAGCAGTGTCCCCGGGGGAATTCAGCTCATGGAGCCGAATCATTTCAAATCACCTGAATCTGGCTGACTGATTCTCACGGACCAGTTTACTTAAAATAGAATGATCAATTTTCAAATGATTTATAAATTGTACGGTCGACGTTGACATTTCTCACAGTTTTTTAAATACTACGAATTACTACACATCAGCCTGAGTGATTTGTAACCACCCAAGTTGTTAAGTAGTGGTGCCTTTTGCTATTTCATGACACTTACGTGTCAGAGATAACATCTTGCAATCTCAGTTGAGTGGCTTATAGCGGAAATCTTGTTGACACCACATCTGGGTAGTTAAAAGGCATTCGACTGTGAGAAATGTCAACTTGGATAGTGCAATGTGTAAATCATTAGCAAATTGATCGTCCTAAGAATTTGATAGGCATGGGATAGGCGTGACTTAAACACTGGTAATAGTAAAAAATCTACTGGGCTGAGAGGTTTCTTACTCCCCTCCCAGTCATTCTGCATTTCATCGCCATCATGGCTTTAAATACATCACCATTTAATTTAGTAAAAGTCAATAATGTTTGATGAGAACCAAATGAATACTATTTCCAAACGTTTGGATAGCAGTGAATATGCATTCTAGGAGTAGGAAAGTGTTTACGAACCACTCTTCTTGGGCTTTTCCTGATGATTTATTGGTAACTGTAATTTCCCTTTGTGATACTGGACGGAATTAATCGATTTCCAATAGTCTGTATGTGGATACCTCGGTCATATCTGAAGATTCATTATGCTATGGTTTGGATGGTGGTGGCCATCAGTGTAATATAAGACGCATATTCCGTCATGTTTTAAACACATCACATGAATTTACCTAAGTGAGTGAGGGTGTTCTCACTGAGACTCGAAATACACATCCTGGATTTCAGTAATAGCCACCAACAAGAAAATTATAACTTTGTGCTACTAGCCAGTAAAACCAATCTTTCATGCAGTAGAAACTTACAGATTAAAATACGAAGCATCTACAGTCAGTCTTTTATTTTGGGTGAACGTGAATGGTATCACCGGTGATCAACAGAAAACTGTCAATTACGAAGCTATTTCAATTCAAGCGACTTGCATGTCTGAATATAGAAATTTCAATTTGCGTTTCATTTTATGACTTTTACACTTGTGAAATATGTAAGACGTAATTAGGTTATTTATTTCATTTGCACCAGACTAGTCTACTGAATGGCGGAAATTTTCCAGTTTCTGCATAAAATTCAGTGACCACAATATGAACGTAACTAATATGCAGAATTATGAAATATTTTCAATTTGTAAAACCCTTTGTCAAACGACATGGACCAAAATCTCTGGATTTAGTTCATGAGATTTGCACAGTCCAGACTCAAAATGTCAAGTTAGGAAACTAAGCAGCATAGGGAAATAAGTAGTATTTACTGTATGAAGCTCTGTGTTTATGATTTGGATAAACTTAAAGGAAATCTTGTAAATCTGATAGGGATAATGGAAACGGAAAATAAAGGAAAAGTAGGTTACAGTTTTGGCCATAGAAGGTGAGAGTGACGATGGAACAAGTAGTTAGAAAAAGATGCTGCGATGCTATAGAAAAACGGTCGTAAGTGTTATTTTATTGCTACAGCTCACGATTTTCCATGGTCTGGTGGGTAACGCTCCGGTGTTTGAAGAGATTAGTCATAAGGTAGAGTCTTAGTGGGAATAACACACCCAGCTAATGAGTCCTGAATAAGACGGGATATGCGTCTTAGATTCCATTACTCAGCATTACTCATCAGCAATATCAAACTAAGGGGATTCTAGCCTAGTTTTCTTTATATCTCATAATGTTTGATTGTTGGACATTCCCGAATTTCGTAGTGAGGTATTCATGTGAACGATTTCAAGGGAAAACACAAGCCTAGTTGGCTGCATTTTTTTCAGATCATTGTATGAATTAACTTACTACCGAACCCCCAGATTCTGTAAAAAATTCACTATTAACCGAAAGACTTATTTGATAGGTTGGTATACAGTGTCTTACAAATACACACACTGAACATAATCTAAAAAAACTTATTACTAACAATTTTCTTTTGCTTCTGAACTACATGTTATTGGCATGCGATGCAAAACAAGTGGAATTGCAAATATTGCATTATTGGTTGTTGCAAAAAGGTGGAATCAGTCACTGAAGACTTAAGGCTATACGCTTCAAAAGTTCACAGAATTGTCACAGACTCATTCTTCCATCACTTTTTCAAGCAGAGAAGCCATCTAATTTTAAGAGAAGTTTTACTGTTCTTCCCAATTTGTGTTATTCGTAATTTATAGTCACTGCTTTGCAAATGACTATTATAACCGTTACTGAACATGAACTGCACTTTATGTGTGGAAAGTTCAGGATTTTGAATGGAAAAACAGTTTCTTGCATTCGAATCCGCTGATAAATTTGGACAAAGCAAGAAAAACTACATTTATAAAATAAAATGGTAACATTTTATATCACAGATAATCATCAGCTCCATACACTCTAAAATTACAGTTTTTACTGGGAAAAAACTATGTAATCACATACTTTAAACTACTATATGGTAGTATATAAGGTAATCACCACCAATGGGAGAAAACTAAAGGAAGTAGTCTCGTTCACCTACCACCTAGGCACCATCGTTTCAACTACAGGCGGCACAGGTACAGATAAGGATGTCAAAGCCAGGATCAGAAAAGCAAGACTGGCTTTCATTAATCCGAAATCAGTGTGGAGATCCACTACACTCAGCAAAAAGCTTGAACAAGATACGGTTTTTCAACACTAATTCAGTCAATTGAGTCAGTGTTTCTATGTGATGGTTGATAAACTTGGCGCGTTACGAAAAGCATTTCCAACAATCTGCAGACATTCATCAACAGCTGCCCACGCTGGCTCAATACTGAAGATCAGATGGCCGGAGTAATAAGTATAACCTATAAGGAACCCACTCTGACGTGGCAACGAACCAACCCGAAAATATGCAGAAGAAGAAAGTGGAGATGGATTGGATTGGACATAGACTGAGAAAGCCTTTTGGAGACATCACGTGGCAGGCCAGGCTCTCGAGTGGGACCCAAAAGGGAAACGACGAGCTGGGTGTCCCAGCTGAGGATGACATGGAGCAGATGGTGTGAGGAAGAAACGAAAGCTTGTGGGCATTCCTGGATCCAGTTTGAAAAGACTGTAGAGAAGAGATTGCAATGGTGACGTGCTACTGAAGCCGTTTGTTACAGTAGGAACCTAAGGGACAAATAATAACATAATAATAAAACAAGAATTCAGAGTACCCTGAAATCACTGCTCATTTATTTATTAATTAATGGGAAATTGAAGATTGCACAGAAGAGGTAAGAAACGTGAGAGAAAGGAGAATAAATACTAGCTAACAGGTTACGTCACACATAAAGAAATGACATTAGTAACACTCAGATAAGCGTCAACTACATGATACATAAATTTGCGATAGTTTCAGTGTGTAACTTCTAATTTCCGACTTTTTAATACTTTGTATTACCTCGTTTTAAATTACCTTTTGTGCTGTTGCACAATAGTTTACAGTTTGTGGTTGTTTTAAGCTATTCTAATGACCATTATAATTTTAGACTGTAAGGAGTTGGTGAATATCAGTGAAATAAAATGATATTTTATTTTGTAAATGCTGTCCTACATGCTCTGAAAGATGATCATTTCGAACCCTATTTAATCTAATTCACTAGTGACATATTCGGTAGCAGTACTAGCAGTGTTTTTTTCAAAAACAGAAATAATTTACCTGGTTTACTAGTTTTGAGTAACCTATACTGTATAATGAGATATTCACATTTGCTATGGTTGTTGTATATTTCAAACCTTATCTAATAAGATCTAGTAATTCACTCCAAAAGGGAAAGTAAACACTGCCTAGACAGGAAATTCTCCCTTCAGAAAACCTACTTGAAATTAAAATTGTATATTCTTCATATTTTTGAAGTGTGAGCCGAAGACACTGTCCAGAAAGCTAAACATTTCTGAATATCACCCCATATCGCTCAAGAAATGTCAGCTTACCGTCTCACAGTATAATACTCTTAAGCTCAATCAGTAACTTTCCGGAACATACAAAATGTATATCCATATGGCAGCAGATGAATCAGGCGCTGAACACTGGTGATCCCACAAACCGGATAAAATACGAGTAACCTTAATGCACTCTCAACTGAAAACACGAATTGCTACCCAGCAAAGCAGAGACACGATTTATAAATACTGAAAGTAGTTATCTCGTATTTAGAAGACTTTGGTTACTCAAATTTTAGTTCTCATAAAAGACGCTTTATGAGTTAAACAGCGACAAGGAGGTACTGATTGCCTCATTCATAGCAATGTACCAAAACTGCATTTATTAGTTAATAATTTGATTCGGTTCATTCATCTTCCTGTTAAGAATCTTTTTTGGTAATATGATAACTTTCTTGACTTTTTGTGTTATGGTTTGCTTGATCTTGAGTGCTATTTTTGTCTTATTACTTGAACGACTTATTTAGTTTTGATTGCACATAAAACTGCACAGCATACCAATAAAGTTATAAACTAGAGATACTTTATAGCTGAAAACCCTTCCTCAAGTACTTCATTAAACTTCAATGAACAGAGATTTCATTTTTTCTTTAGTTGAATTGAATCGACTTTAGGATCCACTTCATTTGACTAACGGTAGATACAAATTTCATGGGTCAAGTTTTGAAACCAAAACTTCATATTTTAAAAATCTGATTGATGACGTTCATTTGAACATCACAGTTGTAGTCATCAATACAGGGGGATTTCGTGTATCCGATTGCAATTAATTTACTGTGAAGTCATATATTTTTTAATTTACTTTCTGTATATATTTATACCTTTTGTCTAGAAAACATTTCGAAAGTTAACAAAGCCCTTATTCGTTAGTCCTTGGAAAGGTACACAGACTATATTATACACCGTGTTGTCAGATAATTTGATATCTGGTGGTTATTATTCGAATTGTACACTGAAAGAACCATCATCCACAGTCAAGAATAAAGAAGAAAGAAAGTGGTTTTGGAATCAAACTTATGAACTCCTAGGAATTGAAAATAAACTATAGACAGTACCTGTTAATGGATGAAAATGAAACTTATTTAATGAAATAACAGTTAGCGACTTAAAATTGGTTTTGCAGACCAAGTATACAAAATAACTACTCAGGCAATTGTCCTGTTTATTTAATGTACGACATATATACGAAAAAAACTTGATGGCTTGTCTTTACATGTGAATCGGTGGAAAGACGAGAAAAGAAACTTCATGAAATATAATTAATTCTTAATTTATTTATTTTTGCATGATAATACCAGTGTACTTGCTCTTCTTATCTTTTACTTGTTGGAAGCACAAGGATATAGAACTAGTCATAAAAACTAAGTTTTTGGGTATATGAGAGAAGAGTTGACTTGGTAAAACTATATGAAATAAAAATGAATGCTTAGCAATTCAGGTGCCAACTTGAAGTATATCAACAAGAAAAAACATGTTTCTATCTCTGAACTAACAAATCTTGTACGTAATTAAGAAAAAAGTGGTTGCGAACGACCATCGATTTTTAGCTATTCAATTAGTCACTGAAACTAAGAATATGTAGGAAGATACTGCATAGTATACGACAGCAGAAAGTGTTTATTTAGAGCAAAACATTGTTGTAAACACAACTAAGACTTTATGAAATACGAAGAAATTGACATTGTATTATACAATTTACAAAATAAGTCGGCGAAAACCAAAAGAAGTTGAACTATATCAAACAAGTGATAAATTAAAAGTGAATAGGAAGAAATTTCAACTTTCCAAACAGTTCTAGTTTCCATTTAGGTTCCTAAAGTCTCAACCATGCAAAGAATATGCAGGATTTTTCTTTAATCGTTTACAATTTGTGTCTGTTGTCAAATAAGTGATGTCAAACATCTACTATTGGTTGATGTAAATTTTGTCTAAATGAAAAGTGATAGCATGTGTATATGTCAACGCTGGATAATCTACCTCTGGTTACCTCATGTTAATTTGTCCCCAAAAGCCAATAATTTGTTTGATACACATAGAAGAAATCAATGGGTACGTCATGCATATACTCGCTAGTAAACGGTCAGTAAAGCTAATGTATACAGTGGCTATATAAAAACTACCTTTAATAGCTTTCGTTAATATACACTTCGAGACATAATTTTTTGTGTCACTGTTAAGTTAAAGGTGAAATCTGAAGGCAAATTTCTTTGTTTCGGAATAACAGTTATTCAGTGTTTTGGCTTAAAAATTCTAATTCTTGTCAATGAATATTTCTTCTAGGGTAAAACGCTTTTGTTTTGCATTGTGTCAACGAAATGAGCTAACTTTAAACCAGGGCTTAATGAATCGAAAGTGAAAGATATAATGAACTTCAATCAGGCAAAATGTTGATGCAGATAAATTCGCCTGTAGATGTAGTTCTTATATACTCGCGAGGTAGAGAGTATTGGACTATCGCAGAAAAAAGAATAAACATGATGGTTGCTGCTGTTCTATTACTTACAGAAAACCTACATATTAAATGAATACTTAGACTTTACATGGTTTTATTCTGTCAGTTAAAGTTGGCTTGATAAAATGTTCAAGTAGTAACATGAAATATTTAATTAGCATAACAGAAAAACTATGACAATTATTTTAGGCTTCTACCTGGATCTGGTTGACATGTGATTGCTTATTCAAAACTTTTACGGCACCAACATTGCATTGTCTCACTAAGTATCACTGCTGCACATTGACAAACGTCGTTCACTCCCACGAAGACTAAGATCAGTGTTTTGTTTCAATCTCTGCTCAGTCCCCATTGATGTAAGAAAAAAGATTTAGGAAAGTGATTAAATATTTCCACCTTTTCAAAACAAGGTGGTGAGTGAACAGTAATTTCTATCAACTTTATGTCTATGACTTAAATCATCGATGAACATAATCGGGTTCTACAAAATTTCCATTTCCTGCTTTGTTTACTTTTTAGAGATCACTAATACTGAAGTCTTCAGTTAGAATGCAAGTTACCATCTAGTGAACGGGAAAATGTGCTTTGTGATGCACTTGAAAACATTAGACGTTGATAACAGATACGCTTCACTGATACATGTGAAGTCGAATTCATTATTTAGCAGAAGAAATTGGAATTGGTTTTCATTTGGGTTTCTGATTTTCGATGATGAAGCAAATCTTCATTTGATGTTTTTCGAATCCAACTCATATTCTGCCAATCTGGGATTTTTGAAGTAACGTTCTAGCCTGATTTATACATCCAACGGATTTTTCTAAAGACAACTGTTCTCATTTACTGTGACAGATATGAATGTAGTTTTCTGATGAAAAGTTTGAAAATAAGGGTCTATAATTATTAGAAGGAGTCTTTCTAGATTCTATCATGGTAATTCACAGAAATCTTTGCCAACTCTCTTAAGCTCGGTCCCTTTGACGGCGTATACATGAGTAGTTTCGCAGAATTAGCTCACCCAGATACAGAAGTGTAGCAACTACATTATTATCTGGCTATTTTTGATAAATAATAATCAAATGTGAACTGTCAAACGAATTCAAGGGATTTTGTTTCTATGAATTATTACTTGTAACGCTAGGCTTTATAAGCCTTAGTACAAAATTGCCGATCAGTAGGCGTTGTCTTGGTCACATACAGAACATCTACACGCGTTCATATCATGTGAAGCATGAGCGTTTTGAAAAAGCCAATCATATAATTATTATGGGATCATTAGCAAAGTCTTCTGGTATGACACTGTTGTGTGTAGAACATGTCAGGAAGGTGCTTCTGAATATATAACCACCCATTCTTAACGTATTTATGTTCAAATAAAATGTTCTTATTATCACATGCAAAATATTTTTGACAGCCAGACAAATGGCACGCAGATAATTCGAGTGTATCAGGGTTGAAAACATCTTTCTTCAAGAGATACACCGATGTTACCACAGTATTGGAATGATGCTTCATTCAGTGTACTAGACATTATTATTAACGAATAAACACGTTTTCTAGGTGAAAATAACGTTCTTCGGCTGATTTCTCGCTTGAAACAAAAATAGCAATAGTTTGTCACGGTATGGAATAGGAATCTGGACATATGCTAACATGAAACAATGAAAATAAAAAATCATATTTTGACAAATATAGGAATGATGAAATTTGAATAAGATAAATTCAGATAGGACTCTGAATCGTTCTATTTCATACAACTATGGTCAGCGGTAAAACACACTTGCCCTAGAAACACCGTAAAATACAACTTTTAGTGCTGGATACTAGGAGTCAATCGACAGGAATCCTTCAACCCAAGTATCTTGCTAGCTGGCACTCATCGACTACGTATATCTACTATTTCGGGAAACTTATTAACCCTCAAGCTCTCATTACTGACTTTTGAGGTCAGAAACTTTATAAGTAAGCTATTCGGACAACAGATAGTCCCAGAGTGAACTGATTTATCCATACGAGTCAGATACTAATGGCTAACTAATGCTTCTGTTCGGTTCTCAGTGCTTTGAAAGCATCGAAGTCTATCTATCAAGTTTAGAATGTGGCCATCTAGTACCAATTGGTTCTTAACATCTAATATCATAGTATCCTTCACTTTAAGGATATATAACTTAGCTAAGTGATCAAATTGCAAATCTGATCCAAAACCTGGATCAGCACTAAGCGTCTGAGACTAGGTAGCTGCAGTAGTCAGTAACTGATGAGTAATTTGTTAGAAACTGGATTGTATATGCGTGAAAGGCATTGCAGAATAAAGATGAGTTAACTTAGAGTAACGTCCCTCGTCTCAGGAAGCATGTTCAGATTTATAATCAAGAAAATTATTTACATCTTGCGTAACTGTATTTGTGATATGAAAACCGTCTCAAAATTTAATTTAACATTCTGATGTCAATTTCATTTTCTTCAGGTATTTTGGGTATACGGCAACACGATTTCACTATCTCCACAAAGGCATAATAATTCAACTATTGTGAGATAGAGTGCGGTAATATTTTGTATGAATTTTAGCTTATTACTAAGCAGTATTCGAGTAATTCTGAAAGAATTAGAGTCTACGTGTAAAGTACTAGTGGCGTACCTGTTAGGTTTGAAGCTAGAGTTGATCTCCCCAGATGTCAAACCGTTGTTCACTAGGCTACCTACCACCTGTTATCCGGTAAATATTTATTACAGAAGCTTGACAATTTCAGGTATTAGTTTCTAAACCAAAAGATCATTTTAGAGTACAACATTCATCATTTTTATGCAGGCTTCAGCAGTTTTCGTCCACAAACTAATGTAATAAATGGTAGTCAACAGCTATAGTCGTTAAATACCCGAACTTTGTAATCTACGATATATGTCTGATCGAAGTATACATTAATATGTTGCCGTCACTATTGTAATGCTGCACATCACTCTCTAACATCCTGTATTATTTTACTTCTGCCAAACCAAATGTCACACGGTCACTTGGAGTAGATTAATGCAAATACATACTTAATATTGGATGGCCGAGAATATTTGGCAGTTTTTAGTCTTTCCTAAGAGTTTTTCAAACAAAATCTGAGCTTCCTGTTCTTTTCGCAGAGCGACATGTGTTTGTCACTTATTTCTATTTAAGAATAAGTATTCACATACTGAGATGCTTATCTTGAAATTGTACAAGATTTTCTCCAGTCACCCGCAAATTTCGACTAAGTTTACAGCGAGACTAAATAAAATGAAAAGTTGAGTAACTCTTTTGAAAATATAACCTTTCTGATTATTATTGCAAGTTATCAAACAGTTCATCAGTAACAATCAAAAAGACAACAGAAAAAAAAATCAAAAATCAATCTTTTTGAATTATGTTCAAGAACTCATAAAGCATTTAATAACAGCTCACCAACTAATGGGTAAACAGGGTAACATGAAAGAAACTTGGTTAATCACAGAACTCGTTTAACCACTTTGTTTATAATGTGGTAGATGTACTGATAAACGAAATTTACAAATGATAAATAATACAACCGGTTACTGGAAATAATTCGGAATTAAATTTGAGCGTTTGATGTAAA